TACCAACCACGTCTCCACCACCGAGCAACTCGCGGATATTTTCACTAAAGCATTAGGAAAGTCTCGGTTTCTGTATCTACAGCGCAAGTTGGGCATTTTTGAACCTCATGCTCCAACTTGAGGGGGGGGTGTTAACCGTATATAGGGCTCCGCCCATTCTTATGTTTATTTTACATTTGTTTGTACATGGGCTAAGGGCTCACCTTTGTATCTTTCCTGTATAAATACCCATACAGCTAATGAATAAACTAACGGATTCCCTAAACTCTTTTTGCCTCATACGTACGTAGATAGTCAACAGATACCAAGCGCCCTGCCCAATGGAAATCTTGTATCAAAAAATCTATTGTTACACACTTTTGTCACACTTTTGTACCCCCCCCCCCAATTCGTTAAGAAAAAGGCGGGATTTATCTCCCAGATACGTTGCCTGTGTACATAGGCAGTGTACAAAAGTGTGTACCACAAGACGGATTCAATCTCGTATAGGGCTTGCATGGCAAAACCGCAAAAGTTCAGTAATGGATAAATATGATTGGAAAGAACACAAATCACCTGAAGGAACATGAGCATTAAATATGGAAGTTATGACAGGGTGCGTTACAAGAGTCATATCATAAATCAAATCATTAATTGCTAATAGTTGAGTCTCTTAATACTAGTAGAAAAACATCAAATTGCGGCACAACATAAGCAGCGGTTCTATAATAAACGCCACGCATTTTTTTTAAAAAAAATCGGGTAACGCACGGCGGTTGTCATTTACAAAACCGCCGCCTTTACTTTATTTTATTTTATTTTTTTAGATAGAGGTGTTTGTTAATATCAAAACTGGCGCAAAAAGATAAGGTATTATAAGTAAACCTTTTATTTTATTTTACATTGATTTGTAATATTTTTTGTATTATACACTTTTTTTTGTAATTTTAATCTAAATAAGATTAGGTACATTTCATATTCATATACTATTTTTATTTATGTAATATTTTTTATACTATACACTTTTTTGTAATATATTTTTTCATATTCATACACTTATTCCTATAATATATTGTTTATCTCTTTTATATGTTTTTAGTGTTTTTGAAGACATTAAATTTTTTTTATTTCGATAACATTTGATAATATGTTAGATTACATTCTCATATGTGTGGTTTACATTTCCGCATGTGTGATATATATTATAGACAATTTTTTGAATTACATTTGATAGTATATGTAGCAACATATTTTTGTACCATACGTGTGTTACGTCATTTTATGCGTAAGTTACATTTTCCTGTGTGTGTGTTACATTTGGATTTGCGTCAACAAATTACATTTTGTATACATCTAAGTTAGACTTTCCATCAATGCGAGTTACATTTTCCATAACACGAGTTACAACACAAAATAAACTCAATCTATTGAAACAAAAAAAGACATTTTTTTTGCAAAAAATGATGTGTAGGGCAATTTTTGTTTTGGCAAAATATGACTTTTCATTGAATCATTTTATGGCCTTAATATTATTAAAAGCAAAAAATATATTCACTATTTAGGTAAATTAATTGAGCAATTAGACTCCTTTTTTATGGTTTACATTTGATAATATGTGAAGTTACATCTTATTATGTGTGAATTACATCTTCTTATGTGTGAGTTACTTTGGACATGTTTCAGAAAGTTACATTTTGCATACACATAAGTTAGATTTTCCATCAACGTAATTTACATTTTCCATAACATGAGTTACATCACAAATAAACTCCACTACATATTGAAACAAAAAAATCATTTTTTTTTGCAAAAAAAAAAAAAGAAACAAAACGGTTATTAAAAAATCAAAAAAAAAATCATGGCTTTAATATTAAAAACAAAACATATTTACTATTTAAGTAAACTAATTGAGAAATTAGACTCCTGGATTTGCATTATTTACATTAAAGTCAATATTTTATTTCTTATACTCCATAATACCTAGACAAATTACATTTCCATTTCTCTGTTGTTACATTTCTTATCAACATAAATTAAATTTTTTACTTCTGAGTTATATCACCCCGTACTATTGGGACAAGAAAAAGAAAAGTTACTCTTCACGCGGAAACGACATCTCACCTTGGACTGCTCCAATAGTATAACAAATGTCTTTGATAGGTACACGTACACATGATTTCAAAAAGAGGTATCGTTTACCAAGCCAATTAATAAAGTAATTGTTTGAAAAACGTGACCCAAAAAATTGTAAAATATGCATGTTCCACTATGTGGTGCTCAATAATTCTTCCATCTATAAATAGATATAAACTCCAGAAGCCGAATGAGAACAATTCCTAATTAAGGAAGACGAAGGAACTAGCTAGTTTATTTTTAAAAAATGAGACCAGTCTCCCAAGCTCTTTCCTTCTTCTTCCTCTGTATAATCTGCACTTATTTTTGCAAGAAAGCCATTAAAACGTTCCCCAGTTCAACCTTCCTAAACTACGTCGTTCTCATTGCTACTCAGCTAAAATGGGCCTGGGATTTCCTTCTCCTTCAATCTTTCTGCCAAGCTCGACCATCTTACAAGTTCGCGGCGGCGGCGGCGGGGGTGTCGCTGGAGGTCGGAGTAAGGCAGTTTGAAGGTGGGCCGGAGGGTGGCGGTAGCATGGAATGCGCTGTTTGTCTGTGCAAGATGGAGCAAGGGGAAGAGGTTAGAGACTTAAAGTGTGAGCATGTCTTTCATAGGGTGTGTTTGGATAGGTGGTTGGGCACAGGCCGAATGACATGCCCATTGTGCCGCAACCACGTTAAGCCGCCCAGGGCGGCGCTGTCGGGGCACCATGAGGATGTTATCGTGTTAGATGTCTTCGGCGGTAGACGCCGTGATCGCTGCACATGGTGGTTGAGGTGATATAACCGAACTGACTTATATGTATAGTTGAGATTATATTCCAATAAAAAGAAGCTAGCCTTTGATGTAGAATTAGAATGAATCTCGATCGTTAGATTAGACTATGTTGAAGAGAAAAAAGCATGATGCACAGAAATATGCACCTTAGCATGGTAAAATTTTCATAAATACTTGTGAAAGATCCATATTACATTTGTCTAATGCAACATGAAGATGTTTTCGGTGCAACATCATCAAATTTTAGTGCAACATATTTTTAGTGAAACAAAATGCAAAATTTAAATCTTGTTGCAACATGATGCTATTTTTAGTGCAACTTCATAAAAGAGCGTGATAAAGTCCCACATCGGTAAATCAAGAAGCATTAGAATGCTATATTAAGGTCTAGACTACTCCTCCTAACAAGTTGACCTTTTAAGATGAAACCCCAGATCTTAACATGGTATCAGAGCCAGGTCGATCTATAATCATGGTGTAGGCCCCCTATGAAAAATGACGACACGATTATAAAAAATGAATTTGACGAATGACGAAAAAAATGAATGAAGGCACAATCCAGACGAAGTGTCTGGTCGTGAGGAGGGGTGATAAAGTCTCACACCGGTAAATCAAGAAGCATTAGAATGCTATATTAAGGTCTGGGCTACTCCTCCTAACAGGTTGACCTTTTAGGATGGAACCCCAGATCTTAACAATGATAAAGTCCCACACCGGTAAATCAAGAAGCATTAGAATGCTATATTAAGGTCCGGGCTACTCCTCCTAACAGGTTGACCTTTTAGGAGGGAACCCCAGATCATAATAGAACGGTTGATATTCGTTCTCATTTCTGACATTAAAAACAATTCTCACTTGAACCAATATGTGTGTGTGTTAGACATATATAGAAATGATCACGTCCAGCAGGAGGGACTTAACCCTCCGTCCGTCCGCAACCATTTGAACATGTCCCTCATCAAGTCTGGTTTATCCATAAAAATTCAACCACAAATTCGATCAGGAAGGCAGTTAACTTGGAGATACTCTTAGTATTTGGGGTTTAGCACATTTATTAATGGGCTTCCTTCAAAGCATTTCTCCCTTTTTCCTGCATACATTATAAACTTTTCTTTTTGGGCATCCCAAAATTAATTTTCATTTTCCCTTTTTGATAAACAATTTGTGGTTCACAGAAATTTTTACGCATTTCTCTCTTATCTACACAACTCTCCACCACACAAATGACACAATACTCACTATCTTAGCCCTCATGCCATTTGTACTATGGAAGATCTTATAGGGACGGAGGGAGTACTACGTATTATGGTTAGTTGTGAGTTGACATGGACCTCTTTAGTGTCTAGGTGTATGTACGTTCTACATACCTCGACTATGACGGTAAACTGTGACAGTGTGGCGACTATTTTTATATGGGAAAATTCTACGAGGAAAAAAATTTTGAATTTTCAAAATTAGATTGTCATGTTTTTATTTCTTAAATAGAAGTAATTTCTGTCAGATTTGACATTATCAGACTTTAAACATGGCAGTTTCTGCCAAGTTTTTTCCAAACATGACAGTTTCCGCCAAGTTTTTTCCAAACTTGGCAGCAGTTAATTCTATTTAGGAAATAAAAACATGAAGGTCCTATTTTGGAATTTTAAAATGGTTTTACTCCTATTCATGGCAATTTCTACTTTTATTACGACCAGCTCAATTTTCCTTTAATGAAAGAAACGCATAGAGGCTGATTCTCATTTTGTTTAGCATTATACTATTTTCACACTTCATGTCTCTTGATTTCTTAGCAGTATGCATGGAGAATATTCTGACAAAATTCCTAGACAAAAAGCATTATGAATTTTTTTTATGATATAACTATCATTTTGTGTCTTTATTAATTTATTGGATTGCTTATTTATGGGTTTCTATAAGAAGTTCTTGTGGGTGTGTCTTCACATCTTTTTTAAATATTTCATTCAATAATAGAAATTCCTCAAATTCAATAAAAAAATTGATATGGTCTGATCTAACATGTTCTTTCCTAGTCTGGTCTAGTAGATATATATCTTGCTTCTATGTGTATTTTAGTATTGTCGAAGCTAGCCTGATATGATATGATCTAGTCTAGCCCATTTATGTCTGATCTGGTATGATCTAATCTGACCTATTGATATCTGATCTGATCTAGTCTGACTTGGGACTGAAACTGGTCTAATTACAAACATCGTGAGAGGAGTATTAAAATAATTGTTATACGGACTATCAAACTGGAAGAAAATTGGGCATCAACCAACTAATATATCCTGCCAATTACTTCAATTCGTCCACAGAGGAGAAGAGGGGAATAGGGTTCGGCCAGCCTTAATCGCAGCTATCATGGAAGGAATAAATAGGCATAGCTCAATAAACCATACATGGTAACCGTTCAGTAAGGAAAGAAGATAATAACGGTATCGCACAGTAAGAGGAAGGAAAGTAATCGCGCACAAGACGGGAAGAAGATAGGCAGTGCGACTGTTACCGATAAGAAATGGGTCGGGTACTCCTTGGAATTGGGCTTATGGATAAATGGGCCAATACCAACAATAATATACATGTAATTCATGTTCCAAAAGGTTGAATCCACAACCTCAAAGGTTCTCCACACTTCGACCTGATAAAACATTTATGAGGTTGTAAGTCATGGTGGCTCAGTCAGCCCGATGGTGGATGAATTTGTACCTGTGTGCAACAGAGGTTCGGTCCAGCACATAGGAACTGTAACCTCCACACAACCATTACGGGTTTCGATCATTGGTCAATGTTCGAACTCTCTCAAGTCTCATCATTCAACCAATTGAGTTAACCGTGTGGGTATATGTTTGGTACATATGGCCCATGTAGATTGGTATAGTGGGGTGAGACCATATCACTTGTATTTATGTATGCCTTGTGAATATTGTGACACAAAATAAGGTAGAGATTTTTTTGAAGAAATAATGTGGCGAAGGAATCATGGATATCTTTAAGCATAACTTGTCAGGTATCATTTGCTGGCATATTTGGAAAAATTATACTAACATAGTTTGGGGGAAAGGGGATTCTACTCCCACTACTGATAGTATAATTAGGGGTGAGCAAATAACCGATTCAACCGACCTGACGAAAACCGATGACCGAACCGACCGAAAAAAAACGGTTTTCGGTCGGTTTTCGGTTATCATAAATTAAAAATAATCGGTTATTCGGTTATTCAGTTTTATTTGTCGGTTATCGGTCGGTCACCGATAACCGTCCTATTTTTTTATTTTTATTTTATTTTTTGGAAATTTTTAAGTAAATATACTCCATAATAAATTAATTACTCTATAGTAACGATAAAAAAGAACTCCATAGTAATGAATTATGAAGTTCAGCCCACGCCCATTGAAGTCCACCTACAAAACTCATTAGTGGAATGTGTTCATTAGTTGTATTCTTATAACTTGTATTATCTTATAATCAATTAGTAGAGCGCGTTCTTCAATTATCCACTTTCCCCATCTCTTTAACTTGTATTCTTATAATCAATTCATGGAACACCCAGTTCAAAATTTCAAACCTCCACGTACACCTTCATTAGTTCTGGAGGAATCAACCTTGGTAGAGAAAAATCAACCGAAATCCTTATTTAATCGTTGCGAAATTGCACACTTTTTTTCTTTTAATGTTTTCTAGATCCTTTATTATCTTACTCAACATGGCAGATCTTTTGATTTTTAATTTTTTCTTTAGTGTGATTTAATATATTCAGAAACTTTTAGATGGGTTTACTCATTTGGGGTGTAAAGATTAATAAGATATTAGCTTATTTATTTGCTAACATATCCTTTTTTATTTTGTTTTCATATTGAAAAAGACAATTGTGGAACAGTGAAGTAGTTTCAACGTGGGATTTTTTAGTTTTTGTAATTGTATTGTGCTAAGAACAATTATTTACATTTAAATATGTTGAATCCATTTTGGTATTTATTATTTTATTTATTAATGTGCTATCTACAACTTTTATAATTTTGAAAAATATATCTTTTGGTCGGTTATGTTCGGTTATTCGGTTACCAATCGAAACCGAATGACATTTTTCGGTCGGTTTTTGTAATGTTGTCGGTCGGTTTTCAGTCGGTTATGAGAGGAAAAAACATTAGTCGGTTATTCGGTTATCGGTCGGTTATTTGACCGACCGACCGAATGCTCTAACAAATTAAACTTTATACTCAAAGTTGGTGTCTGAGCTTCCCAGCAATAAAAAATCGAACTGATTTTAGGGTGTTGAAAGAACGGTTACTTCCATTAGGCTTTAAGCCGAAAGGTAATTTCATTCAGATTGTTAGATGGCGCAGGTATAGAAGAAATAACAAAATGAATATTGATGCTAAATACTTAACTGATGGGGCTGTCGGAGGTGCGATTATTCAGAACTGTAAGGGGGAGATGCTTCGTGCGATTAGCTTTCAGGTCACGGCGTCGTCCTCCCCGGTTGAGGCTGAACTGAAAGCGATGATGAGGGCGGTAAAATGGGCTGACGACGAGGGATTTGCTGATTTGCAGGTGGAATCGGATTCGATTGAGGCTCTTGAGTTGATGAAGAATGAGGATACAAGAAGATGGTCTGATCTACTTCAGTAAACCAGACTGATTGCAGATAGGAGAGGAATGATTTTCGGACATACATTACGGCAGGATAACTGGGTTGCCCACTACATTGCTGCATCTCATAGGGGCTGCTATCCTCAGGTGTTTAATTGGTCGGATTCATTACTCATTCGTGCTAAACGGGCTTATTTCATGGATCAGTTTGGCATTCCATCGATAAGATTTTAATTTCTTCTTCTTAGATTTTAATGTTATTCCTTCTTGTCTGTTTAATTTTGGCTCTGATCTGTATTTTTTCCATTGAGTTTTGGCCTAGTCCCCTCAATGGACTTTGTTGTGTTTATTTTTGTTCCATCAGTTGTATTTTGGGGTGAATGCCTCTCAGGAGGGGTTTTGGTTTGGTCCCGCCCTCTTTATGTACTCCTCTCTATTTTTAATAAAATCTGGTTATCCCACTGATTTTAGTGGTTTGCCTTCTGGGTTTAAAAAAATCCCTAACAACAAGCCTTCAGCTGCAGCGCCGCATCCAGCAAAAGGGAGAAAAACAGCCGCACACCTCAAGCGCGCGGCGGGCTTGCAAACACTAGCTCTCGTCGGTAGTTGCTTCCTATTTTATGATATTTTAGGTCTTAAATTGATTATTTTCAATCATTCAGATCTTATATCGACACGCTTCATCTTTTGGATCTCTTATTGATAGTAAATGTATTTTTCATGTCCTGAGTTAATAAAATTTCCAATAAAAATGGTCGGAGATTATCATCAAGAGGATCGAATTAAGTTGTGTGTTGAAGCATCACAGTGGTTAAATATGAATTGTTGTGTTAAAATCATTGACTGCTCCTATATACTAATTGAGGAATATAGGTATTAGATTGGATGCAAAGCCAAATAGAAACCACTATGACAATTTGGAGAACTTTATCGGATATTGGGAAAATATATGGTTTTGTAAATCAAATTAACTTTCAAATTGGATGCATTTGGGGTTGTTCTATCTTGTAGGCAAATTCATGAAGTCGTTCTTTTGAAGAGTGGACTGGAAAACGGCCAGCCGAAAAGGATTTCAAGGAACCTTCTTTACGCTTCGTCAAGTACGGAGTAATATATAAGTGGACCTAGTCAACTGGTCAACTGGTCAAGTATGAATATCAGATCCCAAGTTTGAACGCACATTAGAATTACTGCTTATTTGTGGCTTCGTGACTGTCTAGATCTCTAAGATCTTTATTTGATCTGTTTCAGAACTCGTGTCTTTCTTTATTTGATCTAAACTTTTCTAACATAAATCTTAATTTGATATGGATTAAGATGATAAATCCAAATGATATACTGATTTATTTAGAGAAATGGTCATAAGTAGGAGTTAAAATGTCCTTATATACTTAAAGAGGACTCCATCTTTTTTAACTCGTAAATAAGACTTCGTTTTTTCTTAATTCCAAAAATGCCCCTATTTCCTAACCTTTCCACGAGATTCCTTCTCTCGTCCACAATCTCGCCAAAAAGTCTCTCTCGCTCCTTCCTCTATAGCCATAGCAGGCTGGCAGCTTCAAGATCCAACACCATACGAAACAAAGAAGGAGTTTGTTATTTGTACTGACGTACCGGTGTTGTAGATGTGGTGATCGAGACAGATAAGATATGGCGATACGGCAGCGGGGCGCCGGCGCCGGCGGCTCAACAGAGAAAACGCAGCGGCGCGGCGGCTGTGGTGGGATGCCCTGTTGCGCTCTCTTCTCACATCTTCTTCTTCCCCTTCTTCTTCTACTTCTCTTCTTCCCTTCTTCTTCTTCTACTTTATCTCTTCTTCTTCTTTTGGATAGATCGGGCAATTTTTTCTCTTGGTTAGATCTGGGAATTGTTTGCTGGTCGCTCCTTTCCCGGCCTACGTGATGTGTTTTTTTGGAACTTATTGATTTTTTATTTATTTTTTTACCATGCTATAGGTACCTCATTTTGTACCTCAATTTGTACCACAGCCTATTTGTGTGGCTCACAAAAATCCACTTCAATAAATGAATTGCTCCACTTTAATTATTTGCTTTTGTGAGCCACAAAAATAGGGAGAGGGTACAAATTGGGGTACAAGTTGGGGGTACCGGGTACCTTTAGCATTTTTGTTGTTTTTAATATACCATGCCCCTGGTTCGGTGGTTCCTTTCCATCTATTTTATTGTTTTATTGAACGCTCCTCCTTCGGGCACCCCTAAACTTGTTGTGCGCACCATTTTTTCCCCAATGTTGGACTAATTTATCCTTTTTCAAATCTGAAGCGACTCATACGTAGTACTTAGATTACGAAACTCATTCCTATTACGTAGCGAACCATACTTGCTGTATTGCCTTTAAATTAAAATAGATATTTATATTTCCTTTCTTTTTTGAAACAATATTTCCTTAAGTTTTCTTTAACTTTATCTTAAAAACCAACTATTTGTATAATATATCAAATAATTACTATATTTTTTGCTTTTATATTTATTTTTACAATCTTCTTTTATCATGATTGATGAATCGGAAAATTATCTAAAATACGGAGTAGTAGTCTTGACTTTCAGACTAACAAGATATCTATTTACCTTAATTCATATTAGGATGTTTTCTTTTGGACTGTTTTTAGTCGAGAAAATTGTCCAAGATAGGACTAAAACTCAACCTTTTTCTCAAAATAGGACCACATGCATGTTTTTCTCTAAATAGGACTAACCTTACCTTTTTTACCCCTAATTCTATTTAATTAATTAATTAATCTAAATAATTGTCACCCCTAGTTTCCTTGCACAACCAAGGCAGTCCGTCGGTGGCGGAGCAGTCCGTGGTGGCGGTAGCACTCCGGCAGCAGCCGGCGGATTCCGGCGGCGGCAGCGGCAACTCCGGCAATTAATTAACCCAATTAATTGCCCCCTAGTTCTCTTGCACAACCAAGGCAGTCCGTTGGTAGCGGGGCAGTCCGGAGGTGCCGGCGGCAGGTGGCGGCAGAATGTTGGCAAACCTCCAGAAAAAAAATCTGGAATTTTTCCGGCGGCGGTCGCCGGAGCTCCGGCGGCGGCAGGCGGCGGTCCGGCAGTCCCTGGGCAGCAGTGGTAAAGGTTGTGAGGGGTATTTTGGTCCAATCACTAATAAAAAGTCCTACTTAAGGATGTTTAAACTAGGTACTCCTATTTTGAGAAAAAAGCCATGTTTTGACCCTATTAAGATAAATCTCATACTAGACCAGACCACATCAGACCAAACCAGATCAGATTAGACCAGATCAGACCATTAAGTTGCCACTTTTAGTACGTAATTTCATTTGATGACTCTCAAAAGTCAAAGTTGGTCCAATTTAAATTAGAGTGCAAATAGCATTTTTTATAAAATGTGTCGAACACTTTCAAAAACAAATAAAAATAATAATAACGTGTTCAAGAATTACTTTTTATAAAATGTAATACTACTTTCATTTATTCTCCTATATTGACAAACATATATTGAATTGAATAAGATCTTTCATGAGACATTAAAAATGTTTTCTTTTGTACTGAAATTTGTTGATCTGACTTGATTTGATCTGGTCTGGCCTGACATTGTAACAAAAATACAATGTCAATGACAAGATATCTATATACCTTAATTCATATTAGAATGTTTTTTTGGACTGTTTTCAGTCTCATACTAGACCAGATCAGACCATTAAGCTGCCACTTTTCGTACGTAATTTCATTTGATGACTCTCAAAAGTCAAAGTTGATCCAATTTAAATTGAAGTGCAAATAGCATTTTTATATAATGTGTCGAACACTTTCAAAAACAAATAAAAAAAATAAAAACGTGTTCCAGAATTACTTTTTAGAAATCATATTTATGTTAAAAGAATTATGCTGTGGTATTACATTTAATACATACTAGTATACAAATACACAGACTACCATTTCAAGTTTTCAACAAAATTGTGCTCGTCATCTTACTTGACTTCAATTTTTGGTGAGAGAGTTTAGGTGACTCCGTGACTGGCGATTGCCTCCGCTTCTTATCCGATATTAATTCTAGGATACCTATACCTGTATAACACGTTCCTGGATCGGATCGGATATGTAATTTATTAAAAGTTTCTAAATTTTTTGATAATTATTTTAAAATTAAAAAAGCGTTTTTTAGTTCGCCAACTTTTCCATAGATGAACCAGAATTGAAGTTTGTCTTTTTGAAAGACGATATTATCCCTGAAAATTAGTAACTCATGTCGAAATACTAGTATGTATTAGAACTTTAAGTTTTTTATAAGAGTACTATTTTCTATCTCTATTATCCAATAACTTTGAGTACATGCACTTTTAATTTTAAAAAATTGTGATTGTTTGACTCATTTCTCATTTCAAATTAATGACTTAGTGACTATATTTTTATTTCGAGATGCACTATTGTACGAAGTATATAAAATAAAGATTGAATTTATTTCCAATTATCTTGATAACGTGAAATGCTTCAATGCCATGAATGAGCACAGGTTAATTTTAAAAAAAATCTGGTAATCAATATTTATACATAGACCTCCATAATTTTTAATATTTATAAATACACCCTCATAACTTTTAATATTTATAAATATGCTACCGTATCCGTATCCTTTTTTTGGTTTTGTCGTATCCCCGTAACCGTTTCCGCGTATCCGTATCAGTGCTACATAGCCTAGTAGGAATGAATTTAAGTGTCACAAGGGACATGTCTTCGGTTTAACTCCAAGCAATGACTAGGGATTGAAGTTCGCTCTTTTTTCCATCAGAGTGAGATCAAAACTCAATTTACATCCTCCAGATAGCTGTCCGGTCAGTTCCGGGTGGCCTTCAGGAATGTGAGTCTAGGGGTGGGGGAAAATACCGAAATTTCGGTATACCGGACTTACCATATCGAAAAATACCGAATTTACCGAAGTGTTTGGTATATCGACACTTTTGGTACGGTATGATACCGTACCGAATTACTTCGGTATGGTATCGGTATATATTTTGGAAATAAACGGTATACCGTTATACCGTCATACCGTAATTCCAAGCCAATAATTTCTTTAAAATTATAAAAATAACTAGAAACACAAAATTAATTCAAGGATAATGACTTTATATCCATGTTTCTTGAATTATTTATACTTTTTGTTGGAGAGCGATGCTATTTCAAATATATTTATGTTGTTTAAATTATTATTTTAGCATAATGTGTTGTTATCTTCATATATCATGTGTTGAGATATCTGTACATATTTATTATATTTTTTTGTTCAAAGTTGAATAGAACACAAATAGGTTATCATTGGTATTTTATAATTAATTTCATTAATAATTTTAGTATATCACTATTAACACTGATTTTCTATATTTCATTTGATATATAATAATTTGATAGTAATTTATGATAATTTACCGATACCGTAGCTTACCGTACCGAAATTTTGGTATACTGAAACAAGGTATACCGAAATTTAGGTATGGTAACGGTATGTATTTTTGCAT